TGCAGGGAGGTCCCGTAGCGGGGAGGGTCCATGCTGCTCGGGTGTCTCCTGTTGCAGCGAAGGGGACCTGGCTGCAGCCGGAACAGGGGTTCCCTGGGTGCAGGAGGCTGCCAGGCTTTGGGGGGTCGCTGGTTTTAGGGGTGTGCAGGGATGTAGGGACAGCCCTCAGCTTGGTGGGGCCCTCCCTGCAGTAGGGTCCCCAGGACCCCCCAAATGCAGGGGGTGTCCTCRGGGGCCCCAGGTGGAGGGTCCCCACTAAGCTAGAGTGAATCCTGGGGGGTGGTTCTAGCTGCAGGACAGGTGCCAGGAGGAGGCTGGGATGGGGGGAAGTGATGGTGACATCCCCTCTGGGGTGGSTACCCCCAGCCCCTCGAGTGCACCCCATAACCCCCGGCTGTGCCCAAGGCTGTGAGGCAGAGCCAGGACCCCAAGGGCTGGGGGCTGGGGGACAGAAYCTCCTGCCCACTCCAGGGTGTCCTCAGAGCCTGAAACCCCTGGGACTCTCCACCACAAGCTGCATGTCCTTGAGGCACAGGGATAYGATGTTTTGCGCCGCAGGATGGTGACATGGAAAGCTGGACAAGGCTGTTTCTGACCCCAGTGACACCCAGCAAAGCCACTGTCCCCTGGGGTAGAAAGGGAGTGACAGCCAATGTAGGATGAAGGGTGTAACTCAGAGCAAGCAGAAAGGAGAAAAACCCAAAAGGATGTAAAAGGGGGAAAACCTCTGTCCCTGTCCCAGCTGAGGGCTCAGGATCATGCACRGAGCATTGGCAGCTCCTGCTGTCCCTGCTGGCTGTGCCAGCGGGGATGAAAGGCCCCTTGTTCGCTGACATCCTCTCCAGCCCTATTTCTGGAGGAAAATGTTTTCCCAAAGGCTTGGGGTGAGGAGGAGGGGAGCTTTGCAGCATGGTCTGTGCTTGGGTCACCCAGCCCTGTCTGCAGCTCCAAGGTGGGAAACTACTTGGTCACCAGAAAATTTGGAAAGCAGAGGGAACAACGCTGGAAATACTGGAACTTTTTACCCCAAATCATGCAGGAAGAATCCTTGGCATTGGAATCACCCTGTGATGATTCAGCCTTGTCCTAAAAGACAGCACCCAGTGCCAGCACCCAGCAGGGTGACAAAGGGACAGGAGATGGTACCTGGGTGTCGCTGAGCCCAGTGAGCCCCCAGGAAGCTCCAAGCCCTGCATGTGGGGCAGCACTGCCCGCCAGCTTCATCCAGGATCAGCTCATCCCCAGGGATGCTGCTGTGCTGATTCTCTGTGCTGGGCTGCCTTCATTATCTGGGGACACTGCACAGCCCTGGGGGCACTGCACAGCTCCAGAGACACTGCACAGACCTCTGGGGACACTGCACAGACCCTTCCAGACCCCTCCTCCCTGGGACAGGGTTTCAGCACATGTGGGGTCACCCCCAAGCTGCCAGCCCCAAACACTCCTCCTAGCAGTGTCTCCAGTGTCACCCCTCCCTGTCCATGGGGGTACAACACGAGGGTACACGGGGGTACACCATCCATTCCCAGTTGCCCCCAGTTGCTCCCAGCAGCTCCCAAAGCAGGTTAACACCATGGTGACACTTTCTTACAGGGATGCATCTGTCCCCATGGATCTGGGACAAACCAGGCCAGCACAATGTGTCCCCCCAGCCAGGACAGCACATTTGGGCTGAGAGCAGAGGGTGATGGACACCCCTCTCCAAACTGCATTGCCCCATGCTGAGCATGGAGTGATCCTGACAAATCCTCTCCCAGCGACACTAAAAGCCTGTTAAAATAATGCCTGATAAGGGAATTAAGCTGCTTAGATGTGTGGCAGCGGAGGCAGGAGAGGACTGGCACGGTGCTAACTCTGCAGGGCTCCCTTGGAGTTTTTTGGAGAAAAATCCCCAAATCCTTCTAGGAAAAGGAGCTGGGTGATGCAGCAGCCGGGGGATGAGCTGGGCATGGTCTCTGCCCAGACTGGGGAGGAATTTAGGGGTTTTGTCCCAGCAGCTGAACTGAAACAGCTCAGGGGGGAAATGCAGCCAAGGGCGAGCAGCAGCAGGATATTCCCAGGATTTGGGGGAAACCCACCAGGAAATAAAGAGTTTTTAAGCTGCACAAGCCTGTTGGAGCACTGACTGCTTATAAACACTGGAATTGCATTTCCGAAGTAATCGCTTCACAAAACAATAAAAAAGGGTTTTTATTGCAGCCAGCACATCATAACAGAACTATTCCCAGTTCCSTGTGGGTCACCATCCTGCTCCAGCACTCCACAGCCCAATCCCAGCCCCATCCTCAGGTGAGCCCTGGGATTCATTTGGTGACACTTCTGTGCTGCTTACACAGGGGTCATTAATGCACCCAGGACCTGCCATGCATTGAGGGCACAGCCCTCTGTTTTGCATGGAGGGGTTGGTGCATGCRTGGAGGGCATTGCCACCAGGTCTGGGACATGCAGGAATTGTCCCCAGGGCTCTGGATGAGCTCAATTACCTCCCCAGCACATCGTGCTCAAATCCCAACTGTCCAACAGGTCTGAAAGGGAGGAAAGTTTGGCCAAGGACCTGTCACCACTTCCCCGAGCTGGGGGRGACCTGCCCGGCAGTGACAGGGCCAGGGGTGCAGACAGGGACACGGGCATGGTTCTGGAGATGGCACAGCACAGCACAGCACCCATCATGCATGGCCTGGACCAATCCTGCACAGAGAGAAGAAAGGAGGGACAAAGGGGAGGAAGGACAGATGGGCAGAGAGTGCTGCTCTGTGCAGCTGTGGGGATCCAGCTGGTGATAACCCATCAGATCCGAGCTCCATCCCATTCCTGGAGTGTAAGTCCTTTCCCCTCTCCCTTCCCARTCTTCTCCTTCCACCCTGAGCACCTGCAGGATGAGCTCACAGTCCTCTGCCCTGTCTCCCCGTGCCATCAGCCCCGAGCATCTTGCAGGAGCAATCGAGTTAAAATGAAGTAATCACTCTTCAAGTACAGTCATTTGCAGGAAAAATATAGGCCTTGTGGTGATTGTAAATGGTCTGCACTGGAACCATCCCTCCCACTCGAGGGAGAAATGTTTTCAGCTCAGGGTGTTCAGTGACAGCAGCCTCAAGTGCAGCCAGTGTGGCCACATCACATCTTGTGGCTTCTCCCAGGCTGGTGGTAAAAAGCTGGGATTTGGGGCTTTGAGTCTCTCAGGGGCCAGCAGTACTTTCGGGAGGATTAGTTTGCTCTCAGATATCTCTGTAAAATGGCAGATTCAGGGAGAGGGGCAGCCCTGAGCCCTTATCCAGAGCCCATGGATGGAGCTGCAGCACCCACCAGTCCACATGGACAAGCATCTCCACACTGACCASGGCTTTCTGTACCAAAACCCTTTAWTTTTTYACTTATTTCAGAACACCACCTTTTGCTGCCAGCACAGTAATTCCCTGATTTTCCCCATTAAACCCACAGGGCACAGAGCCCATCGCTCCCTCCCCAGCACCGCTCCCAGCAGCAAATGGCTCCTGCTGGGACACAACCCCTGACACTGCATTTTAAGCAATTTCACACACTCACCCTAATTTTTGCCTTCTGGGGTTTTTTCCTCCTTTTTTCTTCACTCCAAAGTCTCTCCCTCTTCCTCCCATATCCCTATTTCTTTTTCTATACCTCCACCTATTACATCCCCATCCAGTTCTTTCTAACAACTCTCTGCTATTTTCTCAAATCACCTGCCTTTTGCTAATGCCAAAACCCCTTTTTCTTTCTTAACAGACAAAATAGATTATCTCATCCTGCTGTTCTCCTCCCTCTGTCCAGCCCCAAGTGGTCAGACGCCCACCACAGTGCCGTGGCCAGATGTAATAGGGCTATTAGATGAGTTATCACAGCCTGAAAGGATGAAATAACTTCTGTGCCTTCATCCAAATAAAACTCTCTATTCCCGTTCGATGCGATGAACTAACAAGAGTTCCCAGGGGAAATAGCCAGGGAAATGTTAGAAGGTTTTAGAAGGTGTTAAAAGATGTTATTTAAGATCYGACTCTTTGCCAAGCCACCTCTTGGTTTGGGCTCAAAGGGCTTTGGGGTTT